CCCCAACCCTCCCTCCCACCCACACTTCTGGATCGCCGTCACCAGGAGCCCCCTTCTCAGGGCCAGGCTGCAGGGGCTGAGGTCGAAAAAAACAGACTACACCGGACACGCCCCCACACACGCGTCCCGAGTATAGACGATTCTTGCTGCGGCCGCGCCTGGGAAGCTAACAGCGGCGCAAATGCAACGGGAAGGCGACGTTCACAGGACAAACAGGGGCAGCAAAACTGCCAGACGCTCCCGGGAAAAGAGGCTCAGCCTCCCCCTTCCTTCCCATCGCGGTCCCCGGATCCTCCACGCGCACGTGGGGCCTCCCGCCGAGTCCTTCCGCCTCACGGCGGCCCCGCAGCTTCCGCGCTCACCTGGAAACCTGGAAACCCGCAAGCCCGACGCCGCTATCGCAGCCCGTAGTCCCGCCCTTCTCGCCCCACGCGTCGCTGCCGCTGGGGGCGGAGCCAGATATGGCCGTCCTGATTGGCCAGATTGCGGGAGGAGTCGGACGCTCCTGCGAACGCTACTCGGCGTTCCGAAGCGGCAGTTTCAACATTGGGGCGGGACTAACAGAGGGACTCAATAGCTGATTGGTCAATTTCCAAGGTCGTGTACTGGACGTCGACTATCGGTCTGGTGCGGGCTCCCGGAGGGCGAGCTCCGATTGGTCAGGATGGGGTGGCCGAACTCGCGGGGTTTGGCTGGGGCAGTTTCGAAGTCTGGACCCGGCGCTGCTCCCGCTAAGTAGAAGTCTGCTGAGGGATGCCAGGCGGGGCTGGGGTAGGCGGTGGCTGGAGACCCATTCTTCCATACTTTCTTTCCGGTATTTATCGTGCCTACTTTGTGCTAAGAGGCACTGTACTAGGCATTGGGGGGGCAGAGAAGAATGAAGAGGGGTCCTTGCCTGGAGGAAAGGGAGTAAATTAGCACGAATATAGATACCTATAATGTATGCGGAGTGCTATGTTCCAGGTATTTTCTATAGGCCAGTGCATGCCAGCCCCATTTTACAGCGAAAACAAAAATGAAGCCATAAAAGATGAAGTGACTTGCTCAGAGCATTTTTAAACTAATCAGCTTGATTCAGCAAATTAACAGAGAGAAAGGAAGAAAGGATAGGAGGGAGGAAGGAAGGGGAAAAAAGGAAAGGAGAAAGGGAGAGAGGGATCATTTTGGGGTGATGGACATGTTCTAAAATTGGATTGTGGTGAAGGCTGCACGACTTTGTAAACTTGCTTAAATGATTGAATTTTGTGGTATGTAAATTACACCTCAATAAAGCTGGGTTTTCTTTTAATTGAATTCGTATCCTCTATACAATCCAGTCACTCTACCCCTAAGCATTTATCCAAGAAGAAAAAAAATTGTCCATACAAAGATTTGCATAGGAATGTTCACAGCAGCTTTATCCAAACATCTGTCAACAGGTAAATGGATAAACAAATTGCGGTATATCCATACAATGGATACTTCTCAGCAATAAAAATGAATAAACTATTGATATGCACAATATGGATGCATCTCAAGACAGTTACACTGCATGGAAAACAAAGAGTACATACTGTACTTTCCATCTGTATAAAACTTTAGAAAATGTAAACTGACCTATAGCTCTATAGCGATAGAACGATAAGTGGTTGCTAGGAGATCGAGTGGAAGGAGGCATGGTAAAGGGGCACGAGGAAACCTTGGCGGTGATGGATACGTTCACTGTCTGGGTTGTGGTGATGGTCTCATGGTGCATGTGGTGCATATATATGTCTAAAGTTATTAAATTGTACACTCTAAATGTGCAGTTCTATATAAATTATTTTTTAAGATTTTTAAAAATGTTTTATTTATTTTTGAGAGAAAGAGAGAGAGAGACAGAGTGCGAGCGGGGAAAGGTCAGAGAGAGAGGGGGAGACACAGAATCTGAAGCAGCTCCAGGCTCCGAGCTGGCAGCATGGAGCCCGACGCGGGGCTCGAACTAACGAACCATGAGATCATGACCTGAGCTGAAGTCGATGCTTAACGCGCTGAGCCACCCAGGCGCCCCTAAATTATATCTTTTTAAATGTTTATTTATTTCTTTTGAGAGAGAGAGGAGGAGGGAAGGGGCAGAGAAAGAAGAGAGAAAATCAAGCTGCACTGTGCAGAGCCCAACCCAGGGCTTGATCCCACGAACCGTGAGATCATGACTGGAGCCGAAATCAAGAGTCAGACGCTTAGTGAACTGAGCCACCCAGGCGCCCCTATAAAATTACATCTTGGTAGGAGTGCCTGGCTGGCTCGGTTGGTAGAGCATGGAACTTTTGATCTCAGGGTCATGAGTTCAAGCCTCGTGTTGGGCGTAGAGCTTACTTTTAAATAAATAAATAAATACCCGATAAAGCTGTTAAAAGATGTGAAGCAAGTAAAGGAAACAAGAACTTGGCCTCATGGGGCACATTGTGTTTGTAGTAGCTGGAATGGACAGCTGCCACTTTCGTGCCACCACGCCCTCTCAGGAGTGGCCCTGAGGACAAAGACAAAGGCTAATCCTTGCCCCAGTGGACACAGCTGTGTGCTTCACACTTGGTCACCTACACATAAAGAGGGATGTACACCCTGAGGAACAGACACGCACAATGCCCTGGGTGGTGGCAAATGGCTGGCGGCCTGGAGCCTGGAAGGAAAAGTTTGGAAGATGGGGGGGGGGGGGGGGGGCAGGAGAACTGGGGAAGGGGTAGGAAGATGAGCCTGTGAAAACCAATGGGAGGGGCACAACAGATTAAGTCTCTGGGTCTCACATTTCCAGTCCATCAGAGAATGTCCGATGCAGGGGAGAAGGCTGGTCAACAAACAGCTGGAACGGGGCATCTGGGTGGCTCAGTTGGTTAAGCGCCCAACTCATGATTTCAGCTCAGGTCATGATCTCACGGTTCCTGAGTTCGAGCCCTGCATCAGGCTCTGCGCTGACAGTGCGGAGCCAGCTTCGGGTTCTCTGTCTCCCTCTCTGCGCCTCTCCCGCTTGCACTCTTCTCTCTCTCGAAATAAATAAATAAACACTTAAGAAAAAAAAAAAGTAGCTGGAAAGGCTGATGTGCTGCTAGACGTCAGCAGGCCTCCCTCCTCAGCCACCCTAGAGCGGGTACGGGGGGCCCAGGGACAGACAGAGCAGCCATGAGGACAGGGGTCAAAGTGGCCTGGGCTCCTCTCCCAAAGGTTCACGGAGGTCCCTCTGCCACCGAACGCCCGGTCTGCTGAAGCAGGAACAAAGCTGAGCCCTCGATATACCATCTCCGAGGGACCAGCCAGCCACTGGTAGCAGATCGATGGCTTCAGTCCCCTGATGGAAGGGGGCCATTTGTACCTATTGAAATTGATACTATTCTACATACCAGCTCCCCTGACCTGCTTGCGGGGCCCTCCCCCGGACGGCCATGTGAGGGCTTTAGATCACCTGAATGCAGTGACCCGGGACACACACATGGCCTCACGCCAACGTGCCGGAGTCCAGCTCCCGCGGGTCCAGGGGTTCCCGAAGGATGAACGGCGTTGGCGAAAAAGTGAAAATAAAACTAAAATAAACCATTAAAATAAAAACGGACACAGACAACAGCAGCATGTTGAACTGGCCGATTTATCTTAGCAAACGCGGCATTATATTTGCTGGTGATTTCCTTGTAACGTACGTCATCTATGTTTTCTGGCTTTACCCAATTCTAAAATTGTTCCTTAGTGTCATCACCCAATAAGTAATTACATGATTGGTTTTTTTTTTTTGGTAACTTTCCCTCCTGCCCTTTGCGTATTGATTAATTTCTTTCATTGTTTTGATTATGCATCTACGTTTATCTATAATCTATAAAGTACTTGCTTTGCTGTTTTCATGAAAGGTC